GGAAGTAGGATTGCCCAACCTTCCTTCCGAGGAGTGGCTGGACATATATATACCAAAAAAAAAAAAAAAGAAACCCACTGGCATGGAGTCAATTCTGACTCATAGCAATCCCCATTGTGTTTCTGAGGTGGTAAATCTGTATGCAAGTAGATTGCCCAGTCTTGCTTCCACAGAGTGGCTGCTGGGTTTGAACCACCAACCTTCTGGTTAGCAGTCAGATGCCTTAGGCACTGTGTCCAGAGCTCCTATATAAATATATAGGTATATATATGTGTGTGTGTGTGTGTGTGTACACACACACACTTACATACACACTTACACACATATATAGTTCTTAAATTTCTGAATGGCAGTGATGCTTAAGGAAGAGGCACCACGTATTATGCTGTGGCTCAAACTTTACATCACTGGGAATCCTTATTCCCTAATTTGAGAAGCCTGAAGATTAACTCCTAACTACCATGAAACATGATCACAAAATGAGGGTAATACCCTGAAAGTAGGGGACTCCGAACATAGTTTGGGGAAGTTGGAGCTGCAGGGTCAGATTTGTGCATGATTGTATGTGTGTGTAAGTGTGTGTGCATGTGTAAATGTGTGTGTATGTGTGTGAAAGACAAGGACAAGACAAAAATAAAAAGGAGTATAAATGTCAGATTGAAGGAAGATGGAAGTCACCAAAGACAAAAGATCCAATTTAATGTTTCTTGACTTGGAGCTAGCTTGCTCCCCAGCTGGAAGAGGGTGTATGGGAATGGGTCAGTGACTATTGCATCTCTTGGAGTGGGTGAGAGACTAATGTAGCAGTTACATAGAATTAGTGTAGCTGTGGAGATCTGAGGATTCCAGAGTCAATGTTGGGTATATTTTTGCTAGCCAGGGACTTTCTACAGTTGGAAAATTTCCACTCACGACAATAGCTGCCCTATTGAAGAACATCCAAACTGACTAGAAACAAGCTCAGAGCACCTTTGCTGTGGCCTGGTGAGTAGCAAAAGGGCTCTTCCTTCTGCTCTAGAGCAAGACACCTGAACAGGTTCACATTCTCATCCTGGTGGTAATTACTGTCAGGACAGTACTTCACTCAGAATTAAAACTAGTCCAAGAAACCTGACATGGCCCATGGACAGACATGGGGAAGGGGCTAGGAACAAGTGTCTGCTCTTGATTTAAGAGACAAAGGGATGAGCCGGTTTTAATGGGGGAGAATTTAGAAGTATGGGCTGTTGTGTCTAGATGGACTCTAGAAGCAGAGCCTGAGACGGGATCATATACAAGAGAAGGTAATGCTTTCAGGAGAATCAGGATATAAAGAAAGGATCTGGTTCCAGGTCGTTTTAGCCTGATCCCACAGGGAGCTCTGGGATGTCAGCTGTTAGCTATCAGTTGTCCTAGGGCTGTTGTTATTAGTTGCTATTCAGTCAGTTCCAGCCCATGAAGACCCACTGTGTGCAGAGTAGGTCTGCTCTACAGGACCTTTCAGAAGGACATTACTGGGCCCGTGTCCTGAGGGGCCTCTGGGTGGGTTTGAGCTGCCCCTCCATTTAATATGGAAGTACTTAACTATTTGTACCACCCAAGTACCAGGCAGGGGGGGATATTTTCCTGGCAAGCCTAGATGAAGAGCCTCCAGTGACCTAAGTATAATCCTCTAGAGAAGGTTGCACCAGAGAAACTGGGAGATTTTCAAAAAAAAAAAAGAAAAGAAAGAAACTCATTGCCATCAAGTCGATTTCGACTCACAGTGTTCCCTCCTTGGGTTTCCTAGGCAGTATCTCTATGGAAGTAGATTGCCCAGTCTTACTTTCGAGGAGTGGCTGGTGGGTTTGAACCACCAGCTTTCTGGTTAGCAGTCAAGTGCCTTAGACACTATGCTACCAGAGCTCCACAGGCACCCTGAAATCAGAAATCTGGAGAGGATACCAAAGACAGCACCACCAATGAAGGCTACAACAATCCCCTTCAGTGGTTTAGAATTGAAGCATATCAGGCTGACTTCCTTTCTCAGATTCTAATTCCCTGACCCCAAAGAGCAGCAACTGTGAGTGATAGCAAGCTTGATCTACCTACTATAACACTCTGTTATGTAAAAGAAAAGGGTTGGACAATGCTCTTTTTGGGGAAAAAAATAATGCTTTTCCTTACAAGGAATATACAAATTATACAAAAATTTGATGGCATATAACACCTATTTTGTCAAATTTATCCCATAAATTAAATGTTTGCAAATATATTATTCTTTCTTTTTCTGTGTAGTTCCTACATTTTTTATTCAGTCTCAACAAGTGAACTCAGTAATTTTGGTACACATTCAACTTATTCATTTTTAGTATAAAAATCCAAAAAAAGTTATGCAGCAAGATTACAAAAAAAGGCATAGTAGAAATGATTACATAATTCTATGTAATGCAAATTTAAGTGATACATTACAAAATATGTATGTATCCAAAATAATGTTTTAGAAATGTGTATAGCTTGCTTCTTGGACTTTGAAGTATCATGGAAAATGTATACATTTAATAGAAAAATGATGAAATTATTTATTTAAATTAGGCATTCTAAAACCTGATGATTCATTGGTTTGCTGTAAAATTGAGTTAAAAGAACTCAAAAGTCACTGAATAGAAGAAAACTGCCACCTCTTCTCATGGGGTATTTCAGCTACTTATGCTACTTTGATGGTTCTGAATTTTCCAAGGCAAATATCTTATTTTCTAATATTTACCTTTCTTTGTACTCAGTTATACAAGTTAGGGGATATTCAGCTTTCTCTGCAGGCAGTACTCGGACCTCTCTTGATATTCTCGTCATTAAGAAAAATCAAAGACTCTCACATGAGAGATTGGAATTAAAACATCTGCATTTGTCAGTGGCTGTCAATACTGACTACACGTTGGAATCACCTGAAGAGCTTAAAAGTCCCAGTGCCTGACCCCACCCCTCAGAATTTTGACATAATTGTTCTACAGTGAGGCCTGTGCATCAAGAGTTTTAAAAGTATTACTAGTTTTACAGAGAGTTAGTGGAAGTGGGAGTGTGGGTAGTGGTGGGTGTGAAGTTGCAATGTTTAATATATTATTTGGATTTCAAACAGTCGTATGTGATAATTGTTTGACAATTGGCTCCTGGGAGTAGGAGCAGGAAGCTATTATTTAAAGTGTTTTCCAATATGTAATTTTAAGGTCAAGACCACTTAGTTGTTCTCATGAAGAATCTGTACTGTACATAGACCAAGAAGCAGTTGTTCCAACACAGTCAGTGTAGTTTAATATCAGGAAGGGTGTGTGTCAGGGCTGTATCTTTTCACCATACTTAATTCAATCTGTATGCTGAGCAAATAATCCAAGAAGCTGGAGTATTTGAAGAAGAATGCAGCGTCAGGATTAGGGGAAGACTCATTAACAATCTGAGATATGTAAATGATACGACCTTGCTTGCTGAAAGTGAAGATGACTC